GAAACTTTAATTTTGAATAACGTTAAAAAATTAATTGCACTACTGTTATAATATTTGAGAAGGTAAAAAAATCTCGTTTAAAATTTTAATGCATTGCATGCATCCTAAGAGAAAAAGAAAAGAAAATCACATTGTATTATATGTATTTATGCCATTGATTGCCTCTCTTTTCTTGAGATTATATTACTGGAACAAAATAATGCACTCTCTTTTCTTGAGATTATATTACTGGAACAAAATAGTGTAATCTTAATTACTGATTTCCACACTCATATGTATGTCATGGCGGGGATCAATACTTATTAACTATAACAAATATTTTATATTGAATATGTATCAAACGGTAACAAACTTCAACTCAGTATTTATTATTAGGATCAAAACGATATTACAGTTAAAAATTCTCTCACTCTCCTTTTTTTTTTAAATACTATTTAAAATATGGTAAGTTTTTCACATCACATTTTTTCAATTACAATAAATTTCTAACCGCATCGTAGATTAATGCATGAAGAATTATAATCCAGGTTATTTTTATTTTAATTGATTTTATAGAAAATAATGATAAAGCATTGAGCTTTATAAAAGTAATCTGTTTTTTTTTTTAAATAATGCTGTTTAACTGTTTATGTTCAATGTTGCATGAATCAAGATCTTCAGCTTTTTTTTAACTTCCTTATAAAGTAAACATATCGCACAATCTTTTCTCAATTAATTTAATGCTAATAATAGCATTTTTTTTTTTTTATCGCAGGCAGTAATTGTTTATGAAATCAAAACGCGTACGACTTGGCGAAAAAAGGTTAAGCGCCAATTGGCGCAGCTTTTCTATTTCAACGGAATGTACACGGAAAAAAACATATAAAATTCAATTATTTGTAAAGGGTGATTCCAGTAAATAGTGTCACCAGTATTTAATACATTTTGATGCTAATAATATATGCTGAAAATGTCATATACGGCGGCAATTTTCTTATACAATATGGCTGAAACTTTCCAACCAATTCAACAGAGATAGTAAAATGACAAAAGTACTGAAAATAAAATAATAAATCATTCAGTTTTAACTTACCTATGAAAGGTTACAAGTCCTCCTTTCACGAAACTTTCTTTACATCCGTAGGCGCTGCAGCGAATAACCATTTTTACTTAAATTTTATGTGACCAAGCAGAGCAGCAGTCTTTCGTCCCATAGAAAGCAATGTAAAGTATTTCCGGACTTTCGGAATTCGCGCAGCAGTCACGTGACACTAATGTTGGAACCGGTTGAAGGTTGCAATACGCTCTCTACCAGTATACTATCTCGTTGGGTTTTACGATGCCTTATTGATAACTTGGGTCCATCGCTTCGGGGGAGGGTCTGCGTCACACTCGAACTCTAATTTCGTCTAGAGTCCACAAGAGCCGCTGCAGGTGATCTCATTCTGTTAGTAAAGGCTCTCGACTCGGTGTTCTGATGCCATAGTCCATTAAAGACACATTTTACTGCACTGTTCTACAAGACGTCCCATATTGATTTCTGCGGTTATTTGACGCAGTGCTGCTTGTCTGTTAACACTGACGTTCTACGCACACATCGTTGGTCTCGATCATTAAGAGTAGGCGGTCGGCCACTTCCTTGTCCATGATGGGAGATTATGCCTGAAATCAGGTTTTCTCGGCACACTGTAGATCTTGGAATGTTGAATTAATCTGAAATAGAATGTCCCATGCTTCTAGCTCAAACTACCATTCCGCGTTCAAAATCAGTTCATTCCCGTCGTGCGGCCATGATCATGTTAGAAACCTTTTCACATGAATAACTTGAATACAAGTGAAAGCCCTGTCAATGCACTGCCCATTTATACATTTTGCACGCAAAACTACTGCCATCTGTATGTTTGCATACTGCTATCCTATGACTTTTGACACTTCAGTGTAAGTTGTAAAAATACAAATTCGGTTATCTAAAGTCGGCGTGGTGCTGTTGTTACCGGTTCTATTGTACTTGCAGTTTAGTCATATATTGGATTGCTGCAACAGAATTGTAATTGAAGCTTCCCCTCCATTTTTTAATACTGTTGTTGAACTTGTTAGTATATAAGTAAGGATTTAAGAGTCTGGAAAAATTTTTAAGCTAAATTTGTTAAGTTAAACTGAGTCTTCCCACCGGTATACCGGTTAGCGTCTCTGTCTGGCATGCCGAAGGGCCCGGGCCCTTTTCTTAAATGGTCCGTTACTGAAGATAAGACGTGGATATTATAGAACAATATTACAAGAAAAAAATTATGAAATAAGCTACTCCTTTACTAATATGGAGAGAGAGTTGCACCCCCCCAAAAAATAATGCTTTGTGTATGGTAGGACTATAAAGAAATTGTTGCCCCCAAATCAGATAAATCCGGGGGGGGGGAATTTCTCCAAATGGTAGTTTTAAAGGCAGAGATAGAAGCAGGATGCCCAGAATTATCCAGTCTTCGAGGTATTGTTTTCCACCATGACAGTGTTTGGATCTACATTTTTCTACATTCGAAGTCAGATTAAAAACTAATTGAGTATAGCTGAGATGTTTAGTGTTGCCCTACTATATTTATTAGATCATGTGCCCTCTCCGATTTTCAACTCTTCAGGTTACTTCAAAATTCTTTGAATGGCCTGGAGTTTATTTCTTTGGAAACTAATTATTTAACCACTTTGTATACACTATAAGATAATTACAATGATGGAAACAAATTAAATGTTATACAGTCAAAAGTCGTTAATTCGGACACCCATAATCCGGAATGATCTATAATCCGGACCTCAAAGCTAAAATCTTTCCGCGCATGCACATAGACGTTTACGCATGCGCGCAAGACCTTTAAGACTGCGCATATGCGTCTGCGCAAGCGCCGAATACGTTTTCGCGTGCGCGTTAATGTATAACGGATGTTATAAGCTAAAATTATCTAATTATCTATTTCAGTTAATGTTGATGATTGCGTTGTTCCTTAATCTTCGAATTGGATCCGGCTTATTATTTTTTGCAGACTGTAAGAGCAATTTTATAAAAGTAAGCTTGAACTTTCGATTATGTCAAATAGAATTTCCGATGCTGGAGCTCCCAAAGGATCTAGAAACGAAAGTATGTTTTCGATGTCCATCAAACAAAAAAACGAATTGCTACAAAAAATGGATAAAGGCATATCCTTTGTTAATCTAACCGTTCCGAAATCTGTTTATCAATTTCACGCTGCTCTGCGCGTGGGGGGGACGTCGCGGCGCGCAATGAACTGGAAGTTGATCTGTCAGCACTATCGTTATCTTCAGGGCAGACGTTTTTATTTTATTCGGCTTATAATTCCTTACTAAATGTAGTATTTAATCTCGATGTACTCCGTCTTTGATATGATTTAAATCAAATTCCTCGTTATTATAAATATCACAAATACAAATCAAATAGTTTTCTGGTTGCAATTTTCTAATTTCGGCTATGCTTAAGGTATGCTTTACGCATGCGTGCGTTGAAAGAAATGTTTAATAAAGTAAACAAATAAATATTAAGCTTCTTTTTTTGTAAATTTTGATACCCTTTAGATCATAATTGCTCATTATTTTATAAATTACGGTTTCATATTTTTAATTTTATAATTTCTGCATGCCATCTTACCAGATTTAAACTGATGATCTATAATCCGGAAAAATCGATAATCCGGAATCCCCGAAGTCCCGACGAGTCCGGATTAAAGACTTTTGACTGTAATCCTAAACCATCTGTTGTTAAGGCATATGTAATTTCAATCGGAAGTACAAAAAGAGAAAAAGAAAGAGTACTTGTCACTATTGCAGGACATCACTTGCCAGAACATGTAAAAGTATGGCTGACAAGACATAGGATTACAAGGTTCTATGATAATCCAAGTCAATGTCCTCAATGTCTGAGGTTTGGTCACGAGATTAAAAGCTGTAGAGGATTAGTATAATAAGCCAATGTAGCGAAAATCAAACCATGGCACAGTGCCAGAGTGCACATCAGTGCGCGTTGTGCAGTAACTCACATGAAGCACCCTTGAAGAATTGCCCCAAATACATCGAAGAGGGCAGCATTCTCAAATATAGTGCTGACCATCATGTTCCCGTGGTAGAAGCAAGGCAGGCTGTAGCAAGGCAGACTTACATGGGTAGGCTTCCCAGTGTTTAAAATGCAAAGGTTGTTGTTGTTACACCACTCCAAAAGCACTCTACTCCCTGCTGACAGCCTGCTTGACCCCCAAGCCGGGTTGTGACAATTAAAGTCTCCTATGATAATAAACTTGCTGGGCATAATAATAATTGCTGCTTTGCAAGGATCTTTTGAAATGCTTTAAAACAGCAGGCTGATTCTTTCGAAAGATTCTTAGCAGGGTTGGATCAAAAGTATGAAAGCATGTTTAACAAGTTGCAAGAGGAGCTCGATACAAAGTTGAGTGATATATCAGAATGCACTAGGGATTCTGATATCTCACTTTTACCAATGCATATTGGTAAAAGAGCGCTTGAACTCGACAGTGATCCGGAACGGAAATAGAACTAACTAGTAAGAAGCAAGGGCAAGAAGCCCCATTCTAAGTCCGAGTCTATAACAAGGGAGGCTTGTATTCAAAGCAATGCTTGCTTTGGTTTTGACAAATGACTTGTCAAAAGCAAAAAAATCTGGCCAAGGTTAGAAACTGTGACTTTATTCATAATATGAGTTTTTTTCCCTTCCTGCTTCTCTCTTCGCTTTCTTTTCTCATCTAGTTCGATGGGACTTACGTTTTCTTCATGGCATGCAAGGTGCATCTCTAAAAAAAGAAACTTTATCATTAGCAGGAAAGAATTTTTCTGTGATGTTTTAATTATGCAGGAGACCTTAGACGATTTTTACTTACCTGATAAAGTTATTTTTTGCAAAGATAGATTAAGCTCTTACTAAGGCGGGGTGCTAATGATTGCCAATCAAGAAACAATGGGCAAGCTTATTTGTACAATATAGCAGTTATGATATAGCGAAAGGAGAAATTATGAGAGTTGATCTTCGAGCAAATAGTTCTGATATTTCAGTGATCAACGTCTACCTTCCTAATGGCCAGTTCAGTGTGAAAGAGTGGGATAAAGTTCTGGCTACGTTGCCCAGCAAGTTTATTATCATAGGAGACTTTAACTGTCACAACCCGGCTTGGGGGTCAAGCAGGCTGTCAGCAGGCAATAGAGTGCTTTTGGAGTGGTGTAACAACAACCTTTGCATTTTAAACACTGGGAAGCCCACCCATGTAAGTTCCGGAGAAATCGAATCCTGCATTGACATCGCTTTGTGCTCAGCCGAGCGTTATGGTCAATTGAAATGGCAAGTTTCTCCTAATCCCTTTAGCAGAGACCAATACCCTATAAAAATTAGGCTCATAAGTGATAACAACTCCCCTGCTGCTGGCAAAGAGAATAATTGCTCACTGTGACTGGAAGAAGTTCGCTACAGAAAGCAATTACAGAATCAGGGCTCTGCACCCAGAAGAAAAAAAACCTGGAAAATATCAACCGCATCTTGAGCGCCACGAAAAAAGAGAAACTTAAAAAAAATTGCGATTCAACGCAAAAATAGTCCGTGGTGGGACACAGAACGTAACTTCATTCTTGGCCAGAAAGGGCCTAGAAAGTCTAAGGCCAAGATAAAATATTCTTGGCCTTAGACTCGCTAAAGCTCATCTTTTAAGAGGTTACTGGATCTCTTACAAGAAATGGAACGCTTACCTTAAGAGGGTCATTAAAATCAAGAGAAGGCTGTATTGGGAAAAAATTTGTAGTCATAACAGAAAGGATGGCAATTTATTTAGGATAGTTAAAAATATCCAAAATAAAAAAAGTCAGATCCATTTCTCGAACAATATCTTAAAGCACCAGGACGGCCACACCTGGTCTGCAGAAGAGCAGAGCGTAGTGTTTGCTAAGTATTATTCAAGATTCACTATTCAAAAATTCACCCCCCTGGATTTTAGTGACGAAGAGAGTAACCGTATTAATAACCCCTTCTGAAGTTCAAAACTCCATAAACTATCAGGAGTCTCAGAAACTCTGCTCCGGGACAAGATGATTAACAAGATATGCTGTTACAGTTTTATCTGAAGATTGCAAGCAAGCGCTCCTTGAGGCCTGCAACAATTCATGGAATTCGGGTCTGATTCCTGATAATTGGAAAGAAGTTATTGTTATTCCTTTTTTGAAACCTGGGGGCGACAGTGCGCTGGTTTCCAGTTACAGACCAATTTCGTTAATGCAAATTCTTGCCAAAGTGATGGAAAGGATGATTCTCAATAGATTACTTCCGAGGATTCAGCGAAGGCGCTCCATTATGGCTTTATTCCGAATAGAAGTTGCCTGGTCCTGCTTAATAAATTGTTCAGTAGCATCCTGCACCACAGGAAGCAAAGGAAAATTGTTTAGCTGGTTGCCCTTAATCTCAAAGCTGCATTTGATTCAGTTTGGCATGATGGCCTGCTCTATAAAATTATGCAATTCGGTGTTAAAGGGAATAGTGTCCTCCAGATTGCTAATTTCTTGAACCAGAGAGCAATCAGAGTAAAGTGGAGAGGAGTCCTTTCAAGAAGCTATAAGCTTATCAGCGGTGTCACTTAGGGCTGCATTTTGTTTCCAATTTTCTTCATAATCTTCATGCACGATATCTATAAAATTATCCATGTTGATGTCGACTGCTACGTGTATGCGGACGACATATTCCCCTACAGTGCATGTATCTCGTTCCTCAGGTTAGTGAGTAATTTGCAGCGCGCGCTGTTTAAAGTGCACAGATGGGCTAAAGAGTGGAACTTATGCATTTCCCCAGAGAAAAGTAAATCGATCGTTTTCGGTGGGACAAAGAGTAGTGAAGAGAATCTACTGTAGCTTGATGGTGTTAGCATCACCACGGAAGGTCATGTTAAAATTTTGGGAATGTGGTTTGATAGTAAACTGAGTTGGAACGTCCATGTAAATAAAATAGTACAGAAACTGGAAAGAATGCTGAATGCATTTAAATTCATCGCCAGCCCCGGGTGAAGTGCCAGAAAAGTAGATCTCGTTAATATTGCAAATGCTACAATAAGAGGAAGAATAAAATATGGCAGCTGTCTCCTCATGTCTACCTCTCAACAAAATAAGAAAAAGATTGAAATTGTTTATAATCACGCCTTAAGACTGGCTTTTAGGGCGCCTATGAGCACCCCTCTCTCGTTGTTATATGTTGAAGCAGGCGTTTTCACCTTAGATACGAGAAGATGCATCACCGCAATTAAGTTTCTAATAAAGAATATTGCTCTGTCAGCAGCCTTTCCCATTGCGGATAGTTTGAAAACTTGTTTGCAAAGATGCAAGTGGGGTAAAATACGTAAGCACATTAGCCAGTGTGTTAAAAACAAGCTATGTAATCTCGATTTAGATTTCAGCAAGTGAAGGTAAGTAAGCGATTCAGCAAGAGATTACCTTTAACAATGAGCAAGATTTTTCTGATGAAGTAAAGAGTCGTTTTAAAATAAATGAGTATGAGTTCCAGAATAAAAATCTCTCAGATGTGGAGATACAGCAATTTTCCCGCTGCATTATTAATGATTACGTGAATCAAGGTTTTAAGATTTACGCTACAGACGCTTCCAAGTCTGATACAGGAGTTAGTATTGCGGACGTAGATCGAACCGCGGTGATTGTCAGCCAGTGCATAGACAGCAGAAGCTCCATCTTTTCAGCTGAGGCTTTGGCCCTTTGTAAGTTTCTTGAGAAACTGAATCCAAGCGAAAAGGTTGCTATCTTTACAGATAGCAAGTCAGTAGTTAGCGTGTTGAGCTGTGTTCATAGGAGATTCAACTCTCTCATCCTTAAACTCTTCGAGCGGATTATGGCTTTTCATCACCTCACTGTCATCTGGGTTCCTGGCCATAAGAGTATAGGCTTCAATGAAAGAGCGGACAAAGTTGCGAAAAGATTCTCGGGGGATTTTTCAGCAGAGGATGCGTGTAGTTTCATCGAGAATGCTATTAAGGCAGAGCAAGTCGACTGCTGGCGGACTTCTCACACGGGCCGCAGATTCAGCTACTGTAATGTTCATTGCGAGCGGAGTAAAGGATTAAACATCTATAAGAAAATGAAATTAGTAATTAGTAAAATAAGATTACATCTGTTGGACACGAACCAACTGTTGCACAGGTATCGTAGAGCGAATTCGCCATTTGTGACTCCACTGCAGAAAGTACGACAGTGCCAGAAACATTATGCTCAAGAAGATGAAGATGAAAATTAGCAATATTGACCTCTTAGCTGATCTTTTAAATCATTGTAATAAGAAACCTTGGAGATATTATTTTCTAGGCAAATTTGTTATCAAATACATCCTAAAGGACTCATAAGTATTAGTATTAAGTATTAAATATTAAGGTTTGATTTTCGGACCGACGTTCACCCCTGAATTGGAGGGAGAGTTAGTTCCAAAGGGAAGCCAAGCTTCAAGAAAGAGAAGAAGAAGAAGACTTTGTCTGTCTGTCTGTCGAATTTGTAGCAGAGAAGATTATAGTGTTATTCGAAATTTGTTGAGTATCGTAATATTTTAAAGGCCTTCAAAATGATGAAAGGACTTACAATAGCGAGCTTAAAGAAGCATTATTCAGTGAGTATTATATACTGAGCATTTAATAATCATAGCATGTAACGAACAAGGTCTTTGAAGGTCAGTATCACATTAATGCGTAAGCTGTTTTTCAGTATCTTGCGTAGTTTTCAGTATCATGGGGAAAATAAAGAATTCTAATTTATATCATGATAAATAATTAAATATAATTTATCATGGCAAAATTTTGTATAACTGTACAAATTCAAAACTTTTGTTCTGATAATTTCATTGGATTCCGCCTTTCAAATAAAACGAAAAGAGGCCCCCAACGAGCAATATTTATGCTTATAAAGTTTTGTTGAGAATGTTGTACTATTTTTGTAAAAATTCAAAACTTCTTCCATTTTCTCAGTAGTTTATGAATCGTAAGAAATCATGACTAAATTAAAAAAATTTTTTTTTAGTGTTAAAAGTATTACTAAATTAAAATGTGTTAGTTATTAGCCGTTTAGCTTCAGAAACAATGTAATATCAGATTCTGCTTACTACGTGAGTTGATATGTTTTCTTTGTATATATTTGCTTTTCAGAATTTTCTGTGGCAGACACATGAAGACCTTATATAAATTTCTTTGCCATCAGGTTCTGAATTTATATTATATTTAATTACATTTCTATGTTTAAACTATTTCACTTTATGTGCCTAAAATATTGCTTTATGTAATGTATATTTTGCACTAATTCTTTTTCAAAATCTTAAATGAAAACTATATTTTATGATATGATACTGAACATTGTTTTCAGTCAGGGATAGGTATTTTTCAGAGCGTCATATTAAAAGAAATGCTTATTGTGTCATTGATATATGGTGCTTTTATCTATTCAAGCATGTAAACCAGTAGTGTAGCTAAGCTATACATGTCAAGAGTAGGCAATGCCTAAACGCCCACACTTTTCCAATATTTGAAAATTGTTGCAGAGTCCATCTTTGATATTTTATATGCACAAATTTAATTTTAAATTTTGCAAATAAATTACATTAATTATAAAAGAGTTTCATATCTTGATTTTAAATAATGTAAAAAATTAGTAATAAAACTGAATGCCATGGCAGCCTAATTCAGTGCTGTGTAATGAATTCTTTTGTTTTCATGTATTGGCCCATCTGCAGTATAGTAGTATTACCATCAAATGATGGAGTGTAATCTAACCAATCTGCCTGTTTTGTTCATGTTATCCAGCCATATGGGTATCGGGACAAGTCCGAAGAGCATAACAAGGTATTAAAGCATAGTGAAAAATTGCTTTCATAAACCAAATAGACTAGTTTAGGTAGATTTTGCAGAGCATTTCAGAAAAGAGGAACAAGAACGCTGTTTTTCTCGCTTTAGTGAAAAATGACCAACACTGTCTTCTTTTGCATCAGAAGGTACAGTCGAGATACTAGGTCTAGCTTTTGTTCTTATCGCAGTTTTTTTTAGATAAACTGTTGTTACAACTCTTCGGAACTCCTTCAAGTTTAGGGCTTCAGTTTTGTGAATTATCCAGGCATTTACCTTAGCCATATCCAGTGAACATATAAAAAGTGGGCAGTACCACTTTTTTCCACGAATTTTAATGGAATAAAGTCCAGCCAACAAGTCATGGTGGTCCACACAGCTCGTATGTTTGTTGTAAGAATTAATCAAATTTGGCATCTTCACGTTAACTTTATTTTTGTGTCCTCGTACTCGCCTCTTCACATCAAAGAATGGTTCAATCAAGAAATCACATCAAGAAATTTGGAGCAACAGTGACAGTACTATTATCATTCTATCGCACCAGGAAAATCTTGGATTTCTCGTCAAATGCAAAATCAGACATGCCT